AATACAAGAAACTTTCTTCCCAGAGCACTATTCCAACTTCACGGGAATTTATATTTATTTGTGTTTTTTCATGGCCTATATGATAAAATAAAATATTCTTGTCACCACTTGTTTTGTTGAACTTTTGATGTAGTTTTTAAATATGTATGTTTTATTTTTTATTTCTATACCAATATTTAAATAAAATAGATTGAAAAAACTTGGGATTTTTCTTCGTTTTGCTAACCGGGAAGACAGTTTTAGGACGGAGGGAGTATCAAATTTGCAACGGAAACATTACAACAGACAAATTTCTGTTGTAGAATTGCAACGGATTTTTTGTTTGCAACAGAATTATTTCGCAATAGATTTTTTTTGCAACGGAAAGTAAAAATATCTGTTGCAATTTTGGCGGGAGGTTGGCGCCTTTTTCTGGGAATGATCTGCAACAGATATTTGCTACGGATTTTCTGTTGCAGATTATCCGCAACAACCTATTCAACAATTGCAACGGCTGAATAAGTTGCTTTAATTCTGTTGCTAAAATTTCTGTTTTTGTTTATTCACACACAGGATAGCGAGTCTAATGATTTCAAGAAAAAATATGAACAAGAAATATATGTTAGTGCGGAGCAGAATTATATGTTAGTGCAGAACAGGATAGTGCGGAGTAGAGATTGTTTGAAGATCGTTTTCCCCGTAGAGGACGGAGCTGATGGCGATGGAAGTGCACCGATATGTTAGTTAATAGTTTAAATTTTTAATGTACAATAATACACATTATTATTGAGATTTTTGAAAAGTACATGAAGTTTTATTTTGTTTTATACAAAATATTGAAACTCTTGTTTTGCGGAATACATGTGTTTGAGTAAGTTTGAGTAATCCCCGCTACATTTGATAGTTAAGTTGGTATGAAATTGAGCATGCACGTAGTACACCACGGTTCTTTTCAGCTTTTCCAACGAAATAGCCCGTTGCACTCTAGATGTTACTATTTTTGGTTGCAAATCTTAGCAATGAAAAAATCTGTTGCATTTTTCCGATGCAATACTTTGCAACGGAAAAAAGAGTTGCAAAATTTCGTTGCATTATGTTGCAACTAAATTTCCATTGCAAACATTAGCAACGACATTTCCATTGCAATTCTTCTGTAGCAAAATTGTGCAACAATAAATTCTGTTGCAAATTTCCGATGCAATGCTCTGCAACGGAAAATTTGTTGCAGAAATGAATTTGCAACAATGGTTTTTGCAACGGCAAATGTGCAATGGAAAATCTGTTGCAATCATCATCAGCAACGGAATAATACAAAAATTGCAACAGAAATTACTGTTGCAATTCCGTCTAATTCTTGTAGTGGAAGAAGAAAACAACAAAACAAAAAGTAAAAGAAGAAAAAGACGGGGTGGGGGGAGGATCACACCGGAAGACGAAGAAGAAGAAGAAGACGAAGACGAAGACGAAGAAGAAGAAGAAGAAGAAGAAGAAGAAGAAGAAGAAGTAGAAGAAGAAGTAATTGAAGAAGAAAATTGAAAAAAGATGATAGAAGGAGAAGAAGATAATGGAGGAGAAGAGATTAACGGGGAGAGTGACAGATTGTCACCCCGGAGTCACTTTTCGAATATCTTAAGGTACCTCGAAGTATATTTTGAAAAATAATGGGACCTACGAGTTCTTATTACAAAATTAAAGGTACCTAGAAGCAATTTTTTGTTTAATTAATACATTGATACATTCTTTTCAATTTTTATACACATGAATTTAAGTTTGTATACTCTGTTTATGTCGTATTCAACAATCTATATTATATTTATCTTTATTTTTTAATTATTTACTTAAAAAAATAGCAGACAATCTATATTATATTTATCTTTATTTTTTAATTATTTACTTAAAAAAATAGCAGATAACATGCTTTCGATACGCACTGGTTGAACACTAGTAAGGAATAGAGTAATTTTCCTAAATAGGACTAAAACATAATGACTTTCTCAATATAGGATCATATGTTTTTATTTCTTAATGTAGGACCATTGGTCATTATCTATTAGTCAATATTCAACTAAATGTCCAGCATTATTTAGACATTATTCTTCTCACTAGTCATTATTAAATCCTATTTAGGAAATAAAAAAGTTTAAGTCCTACATTTTAAAAATGAGTCCGTGCAAATTTCACATAAAGGAATATACAGTGCACTCCCTATTCTTCTCCCCTTCGTTTAAATAAAATAACTAATCATCATTGTCACCCACTGGTTGGCATTTGCCTGCACATTTTCCCTCTCGATCGCCATCGCAATCTCAATCTCAATGGCGTCCGGGAAGCATACCGATCCAAAGATGCAATACATTAGCTCTTAATGCCGGTCTGATACGTGCTGCTATTACAGCAACATCAACCATCCTGGTAAGCGATTCATGAATTTATTCTCCCAGATTTCGGATCTCCATCGATGCCTTTTGCATTTTCGAGACCCATTTCTCCCCTTTGATAGAAATCTTGTTTTACCTGCGTTTTCTTTCTTCTTCAACTTCAGACCAAAAAACCCCCTTCCATATTGATTCTTTGAATTATTTCCTCGATCGATCCATGTTGGATCAGTAGGTATATAATACATCCTGATGTAATTTGTGAACGCTGCATCTAACATCCCACTTCAAATGAAGGCAGGAAATGAGCATATTTTACAAAAATACCAACAAATGAATGTAAATTTGGTTATACTATATAATTTGCATTGCAAAATAGCCCTTCGTAGAATTAGATTGTTATTCTTGTGGTAGAATTATTCAACTTCCATAGTGATAGGTTTGAATTGATGAGATACAACCATCCAGGCACAGATATAGTGGTTATCGTTATATGAATTGCCATCGTAGCTGACCGATTGTGTGATTTTGAGTGATATGCAGGGGTGAGCAGGAGAGGGCTTTTGGTGCAAATAGATTAAAGAAGTGATCAGATTGTACATCAACTTCATTACAAACAAGAAAGTGTTGAAAGGCCAGCTTGGCAAATTTCTTTTCAAAAAAATGGCGTTAGGGAAATACTCTAGGATTGATGACAAGAAATCATCGTCTTCTCATTGTTCCACAGCAACTATAGTGGTTTTGGTAGCCCTTTGCTTGGTTGGGGTGTGGATGATGACATCGTTATCTGTTGTACCGACAGACGATGTGTCTTCCCAGGAGAGAAATAGTGAACCGATGACACAAGTGAGTGAGCGTAATGAGAATAGTTCAACTGATGAAGGCAAAACAAAACCGTTTGATGATAATCCAGGTAATCTACCAGTCGGTGCAACTGATAAGGACACTGCAGTTCAAGACGAAAAGGTTACAGGTAGCCAAGATGCAACAACCACAGGAGAAACCCAAGTGGAGATTGACGATAAATCTGTGGTGGAAGAGAAGAAAGAGGAACCCAAGTTTGAAGGCGAACCTAAGGGTGTGTTGGATAATGTTGAAGAGAAGAAGGAGAATGAAGAATTAAAAGGAGAGGATAAAGAGTTTGAAGTAGGAGAGAAAACTGAACCCAAGTCTTTTGGAAATGATGCTGAAATAAAACCAGAAGAAACCCCTACCGATATCAAAAATAGTGGTGACAAGGAAAATGGCAAAGCAGAAGAGAAGGTGGATGATACAAAGGACCAAGAAACTTATGGTGTTAATCTAAATAAGATTTCTCCTGTTCAATCTCCAATCCCATCAGACGTTTCAAAAACAACCAATGCTTTTGGTGACAAGGAAAAGGTAGAACCAGAGATGACAGAGGATAACAAGGACCACGAAGGTTCTGGTGAGATAAAGGACAAAGTGAATGATCTGTTTCCTTCAGCAGCTCAGGCCGAACTTCTAAATGAAACCAGAACACAAAATGGAGCATTTTCAACCCAGGCAATAGAGTCAAAGAATGAAAAAATAGCAGAAAAGTCTTTTGAATCAGAAAAAGGGAAAGGGTACAGTTGGAAATTATGCAATGTAACAGCTGGCCCTGACTACATCCCTTGCCTTGATAATCTGGAAGCAATTAAGCACCTTAAGAGTACAATGCATTATGAACACAGAGAAAGACACTGCCCAGTTGATCCCCCCACTTGCCTCGTTCCCCTCCCAGAAGGATACCAACGGCCAATTAAGTGGCCTACAAGTAGGGAAAAGGTAATAACTGTTTTTTTGATCAAATTTTAACTTTTACACAATTCTTTATCCTGATATTTTTATTTCTTTTTTTTCCTTCTCATAGATATGGTACCACAATGTTCCACACACCAAGCTTGCAGAGTATAAGGGACATCAGAATTGGGTCAAAGCTAATGGTGAATACCTTACCTTCCCTGGTGGTGGAACCCAGTTTGTACACGGTGCTCTTCATTATATTGATTTTATACAACAGGTTAGCACCGAGTATTTTTCAATAGTCTAGAATCTAGCCCATCAAATTTTGGGTTAAAGGTTGGATGCTCAAGTCGAGTGGAAGGTGGGTTGAACAGAACTAAGTATTTAGTTTTGTTGCATTTCAATACAATAACCATTGACCATAGCTTGCACTAACAAACAGGAAACAATAAGGGAAAACTAGAACTCAAATATTGCTACTTACACAAAATATTGACATTGGAACTAAATGTGATCAAGCACTTCGTATTCATAAATAGGACTTGCTCCTTGAATCTCAAAGCATAAGACACTTACTTTTCTTTATAAGAGCAGATAAACTCTAATCTTTTTACTTTGATAAATTTTCCTTCGAATTGGGCCTAAACCTAGTCAAATCATCTTTAAAAGTTAAAAGGCAGTCCCTTCATAGTCGGAAGGCAGTTATTAAGCTCTCTCCACATAAAGTTCTCAACCTTTGGTGGAATCCCAACTTTCCAAATGAACGGACAGAATCCTCTGTTTGTGTTCCCTTGAGATTTGTGAGCAATAAACATCTTGTATTCTGTTTTAACAGAATAATTACCTTTTGCCTCCCCTAGCCTTGCCCAAGAGTCCTGATGGGAATGTGAACTTCATGGTATGCAACATATGGTATCTCGCTCAGCAGCCAGAAACAGTATCTCAAGCATCTCCGTATCCCAACTGTCATTTATCAGTCAATGAGCACCTCAACTTTCATCTCCTCATTTCCTTCTAAAGAATGACTGGTGAGTAGTGACGAAGATGCCATACATGTTGCGAAACAAGGGCTACCAGTACACCCATGTATCTCTACCGTCATTCACTCATCTGAAGCATCATTTGATAAAAAAGTAAAGGAAAATTTACAAAAAAAAAGAAGAAGAAGAAGGGATCGAGTAGTCTGTAACATAGTCACAGAATTCGCTCCTAGAGCCGCGACTTCCGTATTGGTACGATTCGTACCCAATCGCAAGTCGCTTGTGATCCGATCGCAACCGGTACGGCAATCCAAATCGCGATGGTACGGCGCTCCCAATCGCGACGGTACGGCGATCCAAATACCTAGGTAAGTCGCACCCATCGCCGGCGGTACAACGTACCAGTGGCGACTTTCTCGACTTTCTCTTCCCAACAAAGCAACGTCGACTTCCTCTTCCCAGTTTGCCTCTTTCCCTTTTCAACGATTTCTCTTTCCCAAGTCTTCGTAAATTGAGTATGTTCCACTTCCTAGGCACGTTCCACTTTCCCAATTAAATATTTCTCTTTCCCATTCTCATCATTTAATATTTAATTTAAAATTCTATTCACAATTAAATATTATACTTATTTTTATCTATTTTTGTTTACTTATGTTTTGACTTTTGGTACGCCGAACCGAATACATGGTACACCGTACCACTTCGTGCCCCTTCGTACCGAAATGAAGCTACCCCCCTTCGTACCGAATTCGTTACCTCTAGCGAATTTCGTACCCGCACCACGTACCCGTTCCGAAACGTACCGCGATTTATGTGACTATGGTCTGTAATTCTGTATATGTAAAAAGTTAGTCCCTTTCTCATTTTGTCATTTCATTTGTAGGACTAATTTGAAGGGTTTTTAGGGCCATACAACTTTGTTCCTTCTAGTCTCTTCCTCACTTGTAGATACAAATGTAGTTTTTGGTTTTAAAAAGATCATACATCTTTTTTTACTCACTGGATGCTTATAACAATATGATTGTAGTCTGTGCGTGACATTACCTGGGGAAAACGCACGCGTGTTGTATTAGACGTAGGGTGTGGTGTTGCAAGCTTTGGAGGCTATCTTTTTGATAGAGATGTGTTGACAATGTCCTTTGCTCCCAAAGATGAACACGAAGCTCAGGTGCAGTTTGCTCTCGAAAGAGGCATTCCTGCTATTTCTGCTGTCATGGGTACAAAGAGACTTCCCTTCCCTAGTAGAGTCTTTGATGTTGTCCATTGTGCACGCTGCAGAGTGCCATGGCATATTGAAGGTATTTCATTCATTTTTTACTCCTTTTTTGTTTTATGTGGTTCACACATAAGATCATTTTTTAAGAAATCAATTCAAGGCAAATGTTTTGCAAAATTACACTAATATGACTAGGTCACTCATATTACTTCGTAATATTTTACGGTACGATGCACCATTTGTAGATGGAAAACGGTAATAGGGGAAAGTAAGCTAGTAATGCGCTCTTGAGTTTTTAGTCGATTTAGAACATGGAAATTAATGCAGAAAGAAAGTATGAAGGAAAATTACAATGAAAGAAAATGCCAAGGAAGTAAAAGTAGCTTGACTTGGCATTTTTTTCCTTTGCCTAGAATTTTCCTGGACCTGAACATACGAAAATAACAATTGTTTGGCAACATTTCTATCTCTAAAATGACAGTAACAAGAGTATTTGCACCTTTCCAAACGATATGCATAGATACAAGCTACTAAGCAAAGTTAACCTTTTTTTAATCTTGTATGTATTGTCACTTTGGTAAAGACAAGCATGCTGTATCTCTTAACATCTGTACTTTATCACATTTTTGTACAGTTGTACACAGTATGCGTAATGTTTTGTTCAACATTAAGCTCCTTTTCACGTCCTAAAAATTATTGGTATTTCATAGGTGGGAAACTTTTATTGGAGCTGAATCGTTTGCTCCGCCCTGGTGGTTTCTTTGTGTGGTCTGCAACACCAGTTTACCGGAAAAATCCAGAGGATGCTGGGATCTGGGAAGGTAGACAAGACAGCATTTAACTGTAATTTGCTGGATTAATTGATAAAAACTAATGAATTTTGAGCAAAAATGCAATTCACACTTTAAATTCTAATTGTAGCAAAACTAGCAATGTCTTTCACGGTCACTTTAAAAATTGCAAATCAATTTTATTTGAGATTGAGATTCAATGGCATATTATGACATCGGGCACCTACGATGCTCCATTGGGCCCAAAAGTGGTTCCTACCCCCCCCCCCATTCCCTCCCCCCAAACCCCTATGCCCCATATCCATTTCGCTCTTTGGGTACAGTACCAAATGGAGAAAATGGAGAGGGAGGGTTGGGTTTGGGTGGGGGGACCACTTTCTGGCCCAACAGAACACCACAGGTACCTCAAATGAACCAATGCCATAATATGACATTGGTGCTTTATGTCAAAAGAACCAAACTCTATTTACTATACTATATTGTCCTATTGCAAATAACTTACTATCTTCTACATTGGGAACGTGGCAGCGATGAAGAATCTTACCAAATCAATGTGCTGGGACTTGGTTTCAATTACTAAGGACAAAGTTAATAAAGTAGGGATCGCTATATATAGAAAGCCTACATCTAATGATTGCTATGAACAAAGATCCCAAGGTGACCCTCCACTCTGCCAAGAATCTGATGATCCTGATGCATCATGGTACTCTTTTTTCCCTTCTATACTACACGTATAATTTTAGTAATGGCCTTTGAAACACTTTTGTCAAGGACATATACTATCATATCTTCTTTTGGAGTCTCTGGTGCATTTATTTTGTAATCTCTTACAAACATTTGGTTTGATAGGAATGTGCCTTTACAAGCCTGCATGCATAGAGTGCCAACTGCTCCACTAGACCGGGGGTCTCAGTGGCCAGAGCTGTGGCCTAGTAGGTTGGCAAAATCTCCATATTGGTTACAGAGTTCCCAGATAGGGGTGTATGGGAAACCAGCACCAGAGGATTTTGATGTTGATTATCAACACTGGAAGCGAGTGATTTCCAAAACTTACCTGAACGGAATGGGGATTGACTGGTCTATTGTGCGGAATGTCATGGACATGCATGCCATCTATGGAGGGTAACCTATCAATTTGCTTTTTCATTATGTGTGTGTGTGTGTGTTTTTCTTGAAACTTGAAAATGAAGCATATGAATTACACTTTCTACCTGATGCATGTACCAGCTCATTCGTAAGCCCTTAAATTTTATTCCAAATTACACACACTATTAAATGCTATACTTAGGGTCCATTTGGTTTGAGAGTTTTGGAGATGAAATTTTTGCATTACTAGGTCTATATCTTGCTAAGAAAATGAATAAAGGGGTGGTTAAAATTTTATGGAGTATATGATTATTATATTATCACCTATTATGTTATTCTTTCAATTTTTGAGAAGTATAAAGTAGTCCTCCAAATCCCTCTCATCCAAAGGCCACCCCAATGAGTGGGAAAGCGTCTTGGTTTGCTTAAGCCCTCCATTCACACTAACCCTTACTACACGTGTCTCTCTCATTTATAATTATAAATGACAAAATACAATAAAGGGGCAAGGTCATTCCTGCCCTGACTCCACTTAACGCTTGTTTAAAGCAGGGGTAAAAATTTTTAACAAGAAATGACCACATCTTCATATTAACAAATATATAATGGAAAAAAGATTGTTTTTTTGAAGTTTTCGTATCAAGAAGACTTGAGACAGAGTTACAAGTATGGGGTCATGATGTACGGGGTCTTATCCTATAAACAATAGATAGACTCTTTCCGTCAAACCCTTGATGCATTGCTGCATTACTACCCAAAGTTATATGGTAAGTAAACGGCTAGCGAAGTTTAACATGCTGTTTTAAATCTTTTGGTTTACTCTATTATTTTGCCTGAAGCTAAAACATTATCAATAATGATCCTTTCAGCTCCATCAGTATAAGCTGTTTTTATGGGCTCAAATTACTTAAATGTTATCACTACCAGTCTACCACTACCAGATGCCTTGTTTAGTGATGTATAACTTCAATTTAATTGTTGTCTGTTACACAGATTTGCAGCAGCTCTGAAGGACTTGAATGTGTGGGTTATGAACATTATTTCTGTAGATTCCCCCGACACACTTCCCATCATTTATGAGAGGGGTCTTTTTGGAATTTACCATGACTGGTGTGAATCGTTTAGCACATACCCGAGATCCTATGATCTTCTCCATGCCGATCATCTCTTCTCCAAGATTAAAGCAAAGTGTGTTTCCCATATATCGTAATTATATATCTATGCATACAACTGTTGCTTATAGTAACATCACTACAATCTAACATTGGAGACTTGCAGGTGTGNTGTTATCACTACCAGTCTACCACTACCAGATGCCTTGTTTAGTGATGTATAACTTCAATTTAATTGTTGTCTGTTACACAGATTTGCAGCAGCTCTGAAGGACTTGAATGTGTGGGTTATGAACATTATTTCTGTAGATTCCCCCGACACACTTCCCATCATTTATGAGAGGGGTCTTTTTGGAATTTACCATGACTGGTGTGAATCGTTTAGCACATACCCGAGATCCTATGATCTTCTCCATGCCGATCATCTCTTCTCCAAGATTAAAGCAAAGTGTGTTTCCCATATATCGTAATTATATATCTATGCATACAACTGTTGCTTATAGTAACATCACTACAATCTAACATTGGAGACTTGCAGGTGTGGATTACCAGCATTGGTTGCAGAGGTGGATAGGATTCTGAGACCAGAAGGAAAACTCATAGTTCGTGACAGTGTGGGGGTCATAGGGGAGCTGCAAACCATGTTGAAGTCGATGCACTACGAGATTCGGATGATGTATTCGAGGGACAAGGAAGCGCTGCTTTGCGTCAAAAAGACAATGTGGCGTCCGGAGGAAGTGGAGACAGTCCCTTATGCTGTTGAGGGAAATTAAGCATGTAGCTGCTGCTGCACTTTATTCATTGGGTGTTTTTTCTTTTTTTTGTATCTTTTCTTCATTGATCATTTCTTTTTGGTAATTAATGTATTGTTCTCAGTGTATCATTGTTAGGCCTTTAGGTTTGAGTGGGGTTGGGGTTAAATAACATTGTTTACCTGTTCTCCAGTTGTGTAGGGAATATTACAAGAATCCAAAGTTGTAATGATTAGGCTAAAACAATAAACTTCTATCTGGAACATAATGAGAGTAATTTCGACTTTTAGTTTCTTTATTTGTGGTGTTTCTTTTTGGTTTTGCTAATTTGATTCTTGTACCGAAATAAAATTTACACTACGATTTCATAGAGTTTTAGAAAAGTGTTGAAAAATAAAAAATATTTGGTGAAAAATAATGGTGTATTGTTGAAATTCATTTAGAAGAAAAATTACTAAAAGAGAAAGTAAAAAAAGTGTAACTTCGTATTATACAATCAAAAAACAAAAAATGTAAAGTTAATTAAATTTGAGACATTGTTGCACCAATATTCCATTCTTTGACAAAAAGAGTACTCCCACTATTCTCTTTTATTTCGTACGAGTAATATAGCACCTTTATTCCATAATTTTTGTGTGATCAATTTTTAAGGAAATTAAACAAATGTTGAAGGTTAAAAAGAGTAGTTATTATTTTTTAAAAAATAGTTGATTATTTTAAATCTATTTTTGCATATTGATTAATTTAAAAATTAAATAAATAATAATCACGTCTAAAAAAAGAAAGAGATATATCAGAAATATTTAATGCTCTTTCACTATTAAAATTTGATGTGTGAACTCCCAGCATTTTCCGTAAATAGTAACTAGTCTACCTGTGTGTGCCCGTTGGGATTCAAACCAGTAAAAACTTCCTCAATCTTTGAAGTGAGCTTTCTATCACTCAAACCAAGAGAAAAATTCATCCTCTTTAATATTTAAGTTATAAACAAAGAGGGAGGTTAAAGTTACACCAATCAAAAATTACACCAATAGCGATACGAGTTTAATTGAGACGCCTACGATGCTCCGTTCGTAAAATTGATGGTTCCTATCTCTCTAGCCCACCCCCTTAATCCCCAATTTGGCAGGGGGAGTTAGACGGTGGATTAGGGGTAGGAGGGGTATGAACCATCAATTTTACAACAGAGTATCGTAGGTGCTCGATTGAACTCGTGTCGTTGTTGGTGTAATAATGTGTTGGTGTAACTTTAACCTTCCTCATTAATAAATGGGAAGTTGTAATGTTGAACCCATAGTTTTAAGAACCAGACCAGTGAGGTAGTAACCGAATCGGTCCAGGTACTAGTTCACTGGTCGAACGATTTAAATACACACACACACACACACACACACACACATATGGGATTGACTCCGGTGAGATGACACCTTATGGTAAGATGACATGTTTTAGTCAGATGACGCTAGAGTTCACCATTGGTCACTGCAAAGCTCACCATTGATCACTGCAAAGCTCACCACTGTCCACTGCAAAGCTCACAATGATTTTCCAACACTTTACTTTTTTTTCAAAATTTGATGGTTAAATGCTTACAAAGCCCAACAACAAAGCTCACTGATTATCATTGCAAAGCTCACCGAATATGTGCACAAAGCTCACCACACTTTAAAGTTTAAAATGATTTCAAAAAAAAAAACAAAGGGCGGTGGTGCTGACTTCCAACCGCTGCAGACTACCGCCGTGGACCGGTGGTTGACTGGTGGTGCAATTTTATTAGCTTTTTTTTTTAAAAAAAAATGGTGAGCTTTGCATTGTTCCTTGGTGAGCTTTCCATTGACAGTTGGTGAGCTTTGCATTGATAGTTGGTGAGCTTTACACTTTGACCGCCCATGACCAATAGCCACCACCGATGACCCCCACTGTTGCCGTGGACCGGTGGTTGAGCGGTGGTTGAGTGGTGGTGCTATTTTTTTAACTTTTTTTATTTAAAAAAAGTGGTGAGCTTTGCATTGACAGTTGGTGAGCTTTGCATTAGTAGTTCGTGAGCTTTGCATTGGCAGTTGGTGAGCTTTCCATTAGCAGTGTTGTGTGTTGTGTCATCTCATTGAAGCATGTCATCTTACCATAAGGTGTCATCTCACTGGAGTCAATCCCTATATATATATATATATGTGTGTGTGTGTGTGTGTGTGTGTGTGTATATATATATATATATATATATATATATATATATAGACACACACACACACACACACACACACACACATATATAAGGATTGACTCCAGTGAGATGACACCTTACGGTGAGATGATATGCTTCGGTCAGATGACACAAAGCTCACCACTGGCCACTACAAAGATCACCAAAGGCAACTACAAAGCTCACCAAATTATAAGGCAAAGCTCATCATATTTTTTCAACACTTTGAATTTTTTTTCAAAAAATAAAATCAAAGGATGGGGTGCTGACTGGACTTTGACTGTTGACCGCCAGCATTGACCGTCGCCGGCCGCCGTCGCCGGTCTCCGGCAGCCACTGCCGGTCTCCGCCGCCGGACTCCGGCCGTCGCTAGTCCCGCTGCCGGTCTCCGCCGCTGCTGCTGCTCCGCCGCCATTGACCGGTGTTGTTTTTTAAATTAATTTTTTAATTTTTAAAATTTAAAAAAAGGCGAGTTTTGGGGTTTAAAGTGGTGAGCTTTGCTTTGTCCATTGGTGAGCTTTGTGTCATCTGACCGAAACATGTCATCTCACCGTAAGGTGTCATCTCACTGGAGTCAATCCCATATATATATATATATATATATATATATATATATATATATATATATATATATATATATATATATATATATATATATATATATATATATATATATATATATATATATATATATATATATATATATATATATATATATA